GCCCAGAGACCAAAGGAAAGAGGCTGACAGGTCTAGCTGGGTGCTTGGGAGACACTGGCAGAACTACAGTCTTGAGCTGCTGCCCTGAGGGCGAAGTCATCCCCCAATTTGGGTCAGGAGGAGGGGTGTGGATATGGGGCAGGATATGGGCCAGGACAAAAGGGACTCCAGCCTGTTGAAAAGTTCCTGCTCTGGCTCCAGCTAATATCAGAAGCAGACACATCCCTGAGCCGGGGCGTGGTAGACAGCTCCACATGATTCTCTAATGGTTTGTCTATTTATAGTTTTCTGGGAAACTATGCAGGAAGACTGACCAGATCTACTTTGGGGCAGTTATGGTGGCTTATTTTTTTAAGCCAAGCTGTCTCTTTGTAGTGTGGCTGGCCCTGAGTTCACTCTGCACCCCAGGCTGGCCTTAAATTTGCAGCAATCCTCCTGCCTCAGCCTTCCAGAGTATTAGAATCACACGTGTGTGTCACTATGCCCAGCAGTCATGGTGGTGCTGATTTAAATGACTGCAATCAAGTCAAGGTGAATTCCTAAACCAGTTCATATCACACACGTGTCATCCCAGTACTTTAGGAGGCTGAGGCAGGAGAATTGCAAGTTTGAGCCCAGCCGCGGCAATTTAGTGACTCAGTGAGACCCTGTCTCAAAACAAAAAATTAGAAAGGGCTGAACATGTAGGTCATTGCAAGGACCCTGGATTTGATCCCTAACACTGCCAAAAAAAAAAAAAAAAATCTTAGAGGGCCAGGAGTTTAGCTCAGTGGTTCTGCTGGCTGCCTCATGAGTCCAAGGACCCAAGTTTGATCCCTGGTACGAAGAAAAAAAAAAAATCTCAGATCCCCCCACAAAGGTTCACATTCTAGAAGCCAGGTCCCCAGCATGAGGGTGCAGAGGGGGTGGGGCCTTTGAGAGCTGCATCCAGTAGGGGGGCGATTGGGTCTTGGGGACTCTGCCCTCATGAATGGGTTAATGCTGGGTCTCACAGGAAGGAATTGCTTCTCAAGAGAGCAGACTGAGATAGGCATGGTAGTGCACAAGTCATTCCAGCACTAGGGAGGCTGAAGCAGGATGGTTGGGAGTGAGTTCAAGACCAGCTTGGGCTATGTAGCGAGACCTTGCCTCAAAACACAGAGAGAGCATACTGTTAGAAGGTGCAGTGGCCCATAGGCTTGCTTCATTCAGCAAGTAGCTGTTTTCCCCCTGCTTCTCCACCCTGCTGGGACGCAGCCAAGGGGTCCTGGCCAGGACACTGGCGTCCGCTCTTCGGACTTTCCAGCTGCCAGAATCATGAGCCAATCAACCTCTGGTTATAAAGCCCTCAGCCTAGGGTGGTTTGCTAGGGGAAACAGGAAACAGCCTCAGACAATTTGCATACAGAGGTGCATACAACTCTTAATCAGGAAGCTCAGTTCAGCAGCATGGACCATGTGCTGTCTTCCATTTACAGCATTTTAGGAAGCTTCCTCCCAAACAAAACAAATAAACAAAAAATAAGCTTTTTTTCTTTGGTAGGGTTTAGATGAAACCCAGGGTCTTGAGTATGGTCAGCACAAATTCTGCCACTGAGCTACACTTCAGCTCATAATCTCTTTGTTTGTTTGTTTGTTTGAGACAGGGTCTTGCCCTATGCAGTCTAGGCTGGTCTTGAACTCACTGTGTAGCCTAAGGTGGCCTCAAACTGGTGATGAGCCTCCTGCCTCAGCCTCCGGAGCACTGGATGACAGGCCTGCACCACTACCTGGCTCCAAGTTCATTGCTTTTTCCAAACAATTAAGCTAACAGCTCTCCCTGAACAAGGTGCACACTGGGGCCACAGAATCATCTTCTGGGGCATCCTGGGCACTGCAGGGTGCTGAGCAACATCCCTGGCTTCTACCTGCTCTATGCCAGGTGTGATAACCACAATGGTCCCCAGACAGCACCTCCCCACTTGAAAGTCTCTGCGTCAGGGGTACCTGGGTACCCCAAGAGCCCCTGCATCCCGCGATCACCTGCCCTGCTGGGGCCTGGGATGCCACCCACAGTGACATCCAATGCACAGAGTGAGGAGTGAAAGAGGGGTCAGTCCCAGAAACTGGGACCCCTGGTCACACTGTCTGTCCCTTGGGAGTGTGCCCTGCTGTGACCCTAGGACGTAATTCAATATTGGTCCCCAAATAACAAATGCAGGGCCCTTTAACCTTAGCGTTGCTGACACTGATAAGCACACCTGCTTTCTCTCTCCCACTTGAGTGAGGTTCCAGGACTCTGGCAATGCAGCAATGCAGCTTTTAGCCATTAGGTGGCACCAGTGCCTTCATTCATATATATATATATATA